TCAATATGTAGAAGTGCCTGGAGTTGTGTTTCGGTGTTAAAATGCAGCGTGTGTCTTTTTCTCTGTACCATTTGACTGCATTTTTCCCGACCCTGCAGAACCTCGTCTGTTTCATGTGTCAGATGAAACGTGGATTTTTGAGTTATATATAGAAGAACTAGAGCTGAAGCCATGGGACTTCCCAACCTATTAACCATCACTATTTATAAGCATGTGACCTACTGTGGACAAGAAACTGTTCTTCTGAGAACGCAGCGTCTAATGACAGGACCAGACGCCCTGGGTTGAAGAAGATAGTGTTCAACGTTGTAGTCATATATTCACATGGATGTTGAGGAGAGGAGATTGGCCGTGTTAGGAAATGAATCATTGAATTTTTTTAGGAGAAACCAGGACGGTGACTCAGGAAAGAAAGGACTTCAAAATATTTAAAAAGGAAAAAAAAAATTTATTCCCTTATTCATCACACAATAAGGTTCCTGTGGGACCAGTAAAAATAGCAGTAAGGTAATAGTATAACTACAGCAAAATAAACATGGCCCAAAATGTTCCACAATTAGCCAACATTTGAATACAAGTAAACCAAATAACAAAAGAAGTAGCCCACAGATAAAGAAAAATCAACAAATATATATATATATATACTTATATACTTATATAGAAACTGTAGGGTTAGTGTACAGTGAGGTGTTCAACAACATAACCCTCAGATTCCGGTGACTGTGTAAAAACAAGAGAAGTCTTGTCATGTGGTTAGGGTTGGACACAGACAGGATGTTACTCTTTATGTTCTTTCCTGTTGAGGGCAGATGTAGTTGTTTTTTAAAGAGTCCGGACCAGCGCTGTCTGCAGTTGCCTAGCATACTGTCGGCTGCTAACGCATTTTTATGTTTTTTGGGATCACAGTAGAGAAGAAGATCGAGACAATCTATCTTCAAATTAAAAAAAAAATCATTTTTATGTTTTTTGGGATCACAGTAGAGAAGAAGAGAGCTGGAGCCAATAGCAGCCTCTGTTGGATAAAGACAGTGTACACCGTAGTTTCAAAACTTCTGGCTCGAGGACCACTTCCGGCCTGTGAATTCCTCGCACCATGGACATGACTAGATGCCATTAATTACTTTGCCCTTGTGGTTTGTACTTTAGTATCATACAGTATTTACACTACCTAGAAGTACTTTTTCTAAATTAAGTAAGTAAGTAAGTAATTAAGTTTTGTATCACTGATATGACCCTCCAATTAAATGACAGTGGCAGCGGTGGACCCTCAGACCCAGACATACAGAGACGTACAGCCATTCATCCTCACATTCACACCTATTGTCATCTTAGACTGAACAATTATCCCAACCTGGTACAGTCCGTGGTTTTGGACTTTGGGAAGATATGGAGACAAATTGGAGACAAAGCCATTATGAAGGGCAAACAAATATAATGTGTCGCCGGTGAATGTAAACACAGTTGTCTTCCTCGTCTTAATAAATGTATACGCGGGGGGTGTGGCTACGTAATAGCGAATCGCTATAGGTCGAGGACGTCATAAACGGAGGGCCTTCTCTAATGAACTTATCGTGTCCTATTTAATACATAACGAGGACACATTACTTGTCCTATATTTTCTTGTGTTTTTAATTGACCTAAAAGTAGGGGAGGGGGTAAAAATGAGGATTGCAGTCTTGTAGGAATTACAGTGTTTTAAAATATTCAGCTGAGAATTCAGGCACCAAGTGTGAACTTATTGATGTTCCTATCTACAGGCGATCACCAATGCTTTTACACCACAAAATAAAGAATACTAAAGTCTGTTATTTTGATCATTATTGAATGAATAATAATAATTGAACACTATTTTCTTTCCCCTAAAATTACTCTTTGCTGCCATCAAGTCACAGATGGCTTCACCACCAGGGTGTTCCAGTCCTGGCTTGCAGTCACCTCTGTTGCAGGGTAAAAAAATCTGTATAGTCAGCTCCTCAAAGAGGAAGGTTTGCAAAACGGGATCAATTCAGACTCCAACCCTGATGTCATTCTGGGTTTTCCCACTTAAGGTCTTCCCTCTGAGTCTTTGATGTAAGATCCAAACGTGGCGAGTCCATTCTGTCTGTAATGGTACATAACCTGTGGTTTCCTTGGTGACGAATGACTAAGCGCGGGGACACAGGGGAGCTAATGACTATGATAGAAGAAACAGCTGATTGCTCCGGCAGAGAACTGTGGACCAACTGTTTTTGTCTTGTCGTCTTTCTCTTTCCATTGCATCGTGTTATTTTATTGTCAGACAGAACAAACAGTGTGGGGAACTGTAGAGTCAAGTACACCCAGAATGAGACCACGCGTCCTACTGTCCACAGCAGCACAGTCTGCCATGTATGTAGAATGACTTTGTTGTGGGCTCGGCTGCAACATTGTGCAATTTACACAATTTTACCATTAAATAAAACAAAAACATTTTAACAGGTCTAACAGTTTAAACACCGCAGTGATGTAATAGAATTGAAAATGATTTTTTGTTTTTTTAGTTGTTACACTAAAGGGAAAAACACAAGAGGAAAAGTTTTTTGACATGTTCTCGATGTAACAATGTTGGACATGAAAATGAAGGTATTGCACATATTTTGGTTTTTTACATACCAGTTATACGGTCTGACGGCAGCAGGTAGACACCATCTTCGCAGCCGCTCCTTCAGGGAAGAGCTGTCGAGTTCAATGATGGTATCCTGCACGGGTTGGGATAGATCGCCATCATGATAGCTTGATAATAGCTTGGCTACCATTTTAACCCTCTCCCACCACCTCTAGAGGGTGTCCCAGTAGCCCAGCATACCACTCCAGAAAAGATGGCTGATGCCACCACAGAGTCACAGACGCGGTGCTCCTTATACCCCAAAAGGCCTTTGTCTCCTCAGCAGATAGATTCGCTTTGTAAATCCCTTACTGTAAATACCAGTCCACTCTGTGGTGACTTTATTTTATTTGGGTTCATGAATGTAGTCAGCTGCGTCACACAGGAAGTGCTACTGTAAAGAATGTAGCAGGCTACCTCACACAGACCTGGCAAAAGACCTTCAATGTGTCAGAGGAAACATCTCCATGTTATATTAACATTTTCTTTTTTGTAATAACAGTAGCGTCAAAACTTATTTTTTTAGCTCATTCATTGAGTTTTTTATTTAAAAAGTGATATTTGTTTGTTTTTTATTAGATGTTGCTATCACATTGTTTATTTTTACAATAAATCTACTATGTATTAGATTATATTTTGGACTACTCTTTAAATAAATACATGATAATAGTAAGTGACTTGGGACCGGCACTGCCATAGAAACCTAGCAAAATATTGTCTAGTCAGATTTTACAAAAGTTATTTATATTTTTCACAAGGGCATGCTGTTTTCGTGTTTGCTGCTTTGTGCTAGGGCAACCTGTTCTGTCATGTTAGTTTGGCTCTTCTCCTATTGCTATATTGGAAAATGTGGCATGTATTATACCACATGCACACACGTACTCTCTAGTTTTTGTGTTTTTTTGACTACAGTTTATACAGACATAATGCTTCCTTAGCCCTCTGCCTGACCTTAACTATTACTAATATATCCCTAAACCTAATCCTTATCCCTAGATTTGAACGAAACCCTAATTAAAATAATTACTCCAAACTAACTCTTGCACCGGAAAATTACCTTGTCACTTAGCTGGGACTGCCTAAATGTCCTAAGTGACTTAACATAACAATAGCACAAGTAAATGGTCCACATTCCACCTCGTATTTGTAGATTATTAGGACGTTAGCCTATAGCCCCCAGAAACCAGAGCACATAAACATACACGGTGCACTCGTGTCTCTACCGCCAACTACAGAGCCCGCCAACAACTGGAGCTGTAAAAGAGTGGGAGTGCGCGGTCAGCAAGTCTGACCGGTTCTGGTACTTTGTTATGCATGTTTGTTGGTCCCAGGGTGTGGACTAAGTCATGGAAGGTTCTAAGTTAGTGAAAAAACCTGTCTGTCAGCTATGACTTTATGCTAAGGTAAATCCCTCTTCTTTTTTACAAAAGGTGCATATTTAAGTACTTATGTCAGCTTCATGTGTCATGTTTTTGTGAGTACTGTATTTCGCTATGTAAAGCCATACATGCGTTTACACAATGTGGAAGTCTGATACTTTCTTAACCAAACAGGGTTTTTAGGTAAAGACCTTGCGAAACTGCATGAACTAAAGATGCTCTATTTACCAGTATTGTTTGATTTTGAACATTGTTGGAGAAATAGGTGCTGTTGTGGTTACAATGTCGCACAGTGGACAATAGTCCAAGAAAAAAAAAAGGAATTGGAAATACAAGTTGTGGTTTAGCGAACCTTGTGTTTTAGTGAGTCAGCTGAGCTGTGTTCAACCTTGTGGAACTGTGGATCAACTGGTTGATTCTACCGTCAATCTGTTTTCACAGTAGTAATCAGTGTGATCCAATGGTCTCCATAACATGCATTATATGCGTAGTATGATGTCTGGTTCTATAGTTAGAATAGATAAGAAAAGCTAATTGTTACTGTTTTGTGGTGTTCAACGTTTTTATCCTTTACCTCTTTTTATTTCTGTCAATTACGTCAAGTCATTCCACTATAAAGAAACCAAAACAAATTAGCCTAAGCAGACTTTAGATGATGCCCTTTAGGTGAAGGACAAACAGATCTTACATTAGCGATTTTTTGTGGGGTTTTATTTCTTATTTTACACGAAACAAGGCTATCGGGACTTACACATTAATGTCTAAGTATGAGCCACAGACAGCCACACCCTCTAGCGAGGCCTTAGGCGTGTAAAGGCGGGGAGTGATTGGATGAGTATCTCCATGGATATGCGGTGACGTCTTCATCCCTTCCTCTAATTGGAGGAAACCCCGTGGCTTCAGTCTCTGCAGCGTTCCGGTCTGCCAAACTATCCTTTGTGTTCCGCCCTTGTCCACCGCGCTAAGCCACTATTGGCTAAAACATCCACAAATTCATGTCCATCAAGTAAGAAACCAATTTATGGTTGGATAGTACATGTTCATGATCCCGCCCCTTCCCAGTAAGTATAGTTGGACTTACAGCGCTGCCGCGGTTCTTTGACTTTCCGTCGAATCTGTCAAGTCGAATCAGTTTCTAGAGCCAATTTAAACCACGGTAAGTGCAAGAAAAGTTTGCATTCAGTAAATTTACTTACACACAATCGGTTTGTGGAATGATTATCTTTAAATGGAACAAATGTGGTACGTATAAATGTTGTAGTAGTAACGGTAACGTGACATTTTAGTGAAAGGAGTGGCCCATGTAGCTAGGCTTGTTGCTAACTCGCTAGCTCCAGCATCGAGACAGCTTTGTGGCGGGTTTGTCTGCAAATACTTTCGATGCCCGTAGCTATATTTAAATCCGATTCACATATCGTGTATTCCTTAATATATGCTACTTAAAAAAATCAATTGTAATGATAAAAGTGTCGGACATTTTATGGGTGGGTGTCTTTTTCTTTCTCTTGTAGAAAGGCTGTTTTTCAAGTAGTTACATTTTGATAGCCAGTAGTTTGATGTCCTTTTAACAATTAGACATGACCACGCAGCATTTAAATATCTAGGTTCCTCATACGATTTAAATATTGTTTACAGCCTGAACGGTGCTGCGAGAAGTAACGACGACGAGCCCTTGGTGCAACACAATCGTTCGACTGTGCAGTCCTCGACTGTCAAGCACTTCGGATTTCTGCAGTCTTGCTCCACTTGAAGATGAATACTACGGATAAGGTTGAGGATGTTCTCATCAGTCAGGCCAAGCTGGCGGAGCAGGCCGAGCGCTACGATGACATGGCTGATTTCATGAAGGAATTTACAGAGTCGGGGAAGATGACGCTAAGCGAACATAGAAACCTGCTGTCGGTCGCCTACAAAAACGTGGTTGGGGCGAGGCGGTCTGCATGGAGGGTGTTGTCCAGCATCGGACAAAAGAGTGAATCCAACGAGAAGAAGTTGAAGTTGGTCACAGAGTATCGGGAGAAGGTGGAGAAGGAACTGCAAAAGATCTGCAACACCGTTTTGGTAAAGTGGCCATTTAATACTCTGCTTATTAAAATAGCATGCTCATTTGATGAAATATAGACCCCATGTACCAAAATCAATTGAAATGTCAAAAGTCAGACTAAATATGTATTGGAAAATCCATTTACCTCACCATTATTAAATCTAAGTGATGGTTCCCATAAGTGCCACAAGAGGGAGCCTGCATCTTTTGTGAACCCAGAACGTAGTGGTTCTTGGATATCAATTATTTTTATATTTCTGTAACACTAATAGCAGAGAGTAAATATGGCGATACATTACTGCAGAAATAGTACACTTTTTTAATGTTTTTGTCTGTGATATAGGAAGGCCAAGAGCACAGGGGTGATATGCAGTTGCAAACGTCAGTCCTCTTGACTTTTTCTATCCTTTTTAATTTCTGTTTCATGTAAGCCTCTCAGGCAAATCATGCTTCTGAAGACAAAGAAGTATTGTGTAGTCATCCCAGCGTTCCTGCCCTATGGGAATCTTGGTGTCAAACAATAGACTTAAAACCTTGTGAGCGTGTAAAATGACAAAAGGTCAACATAACACCAGCAAGGTGTGTCTAAATTGATAAAGACCTGAAGCCACACAATGGAATGATAATAAACTAAAGTTTTATATATATATATATATACACAGATATCTAAATGAACCACTTGTGAAGAAACTGATTTTAGCAACGCTTCGTTAGAATTGTAGAATTTCCACAGAGATTATTTTAATGAGATTATTCTTCATTATTATTTAGTTTTTTGTTTATCTTTGTCTGCCCACCTAATATTCATAAGGCAACATTTTCTCACTTTTATAAAAGTTTACTCTGTTACTTTTATTTTGCTGTTTGTCTGGGTTTTCTCCCAATACTATCATCAACCTGTGATTCTTCCACCACCTTCCCATCGGTGCAGTACTGTAGTTTGGCTGTGACTCAGCTTTCAGTGTCTGTTCCTGAAAATTGCGTGAGCACTGAAAGTTTGTTAGTAGAGAAGGGTGTGTTGCCTCTTCATGTCTGAACTTGTTACCACAAAGGCAGAAGAGTAAAGACTACTGTTGTTAAGTAAGCAGCTTGGACCCGTACGCCTCCTTACTTGGTTTCCTGGTCAGTTGGTCATAAACAAGACTTGTCTCTTTTAGTTTGTGATTACAGGTCACCCCATTAATAAATGTGTGAATAGCTTTTGTTACAGGGGTTTGTTAGATCAGGCAGCTTAACCCCAAGTATTTAGATTTCGTACCCATTATGAGCAGTTTTGCATTCTCATTTTAAAAGCAGAGAATGTCTTGTTTGCATCCTAAGCTATTTTGTGGCAGAGGGGAAGCGAGTAACATACAATGCCCATGTCGCCCTCTAGCTCAGAGTGTAGTGCTACACTTAATGCTGTTGTCACTGTGATTGCATATGGGGTCTAACAGCTGTTTGGAAAACCTATGGGTAAGGGGACATGGCATTTGAGACATTCTCTTAATGGTTGACAAATTAAAAACGTAGACTGACCAGTCACATCACGCTTGGAGTGCGATTGTGTAAATTATCATGTTTGGGTTAACCAAACCTTAACGATAACCACACTGACCTTTACAATTGTAGCTACATTTGTTATTGTTCTCCATCAAAACTGATTGTATGAAAAATTATATCAAACCAAATGAAATGACCAGCTCTGGAAAACAACAAGTGAATATTGATTCTCTTAGTGAGTTTATTTGTGTCTAAACAATTTAATATTGGCATATAGTATGAATTCACCTTAATTGTGAACAGCATGGTCTACTAACTGGAATAGAGCATGTCCTGAAACAGTCTTGTCCTTAAATTAAATTCTGTGACCTGTACAAGACATGTAGCCTAATATTTGACACAATAACTTTAAGAGCTCAAATGTAAGGAGATATAATTTCTTCAGATTTTTCTTATGCAAATTTGAATGTTTTCATTAATAGAAATATTGTTTCATTTATTTTAATATTGCTGTTAGAATACATAGGTGGGGTAGGACTTTGTCAGCAACCCCTAGTGCTTTTTGGGTGCACTTATAGCGCATAAGAACTCTGTACTATCACTAAGGGCAAAGCTGTCTATTATGCAGAGTGAAATGCTTGTGTTACACTTCAGACATTTAACCACAGAACTTTCATTTTGTGGTTTAGTCATGGTTTAACTTGGGTGTGTTTAGTTTGATTCTCTTACGTTCCTCTTTTGTAAGGATACACTTTTGTCCTGTAAGTTTAGGTGACGTAGGCTGTTTCTTTTAGGTTTTTTTTAATGTGGCAATTCAAAAAATGTCACAAACTTCTTGCTATGCTTCCATGATCTTTTGTCACTTTATGACACCAATTGCACATGTGTATTTTCTTATGCAAATTTGAATGTTTTCATTAATAGAAATATTGTTTCATTTATTTTAATATTGCTGTTAGAATACATAGGTGGGGTAGGACTTTGTCAGCAACCCCTAGTGCTTTTTGGGTGCACTTATAGCGCATAAGAACTCTGTACTATCACTAAGGGCAAAGCTGTCTATTATGCAGAGTGAAATGCTTGTGTTACACTTCAGACATTTAACCACAGAACTTTCATTTTGTGGTTTAGTCATGGTTTAACTTGGGTGTGTTTAGTTTGATTCTCTTACGTTCCTCTTTTGTAAGGATACACTTTTGTCCTGTAAGTTTAGGTGACGTAGGCTGTTTCTTTTAGGTTTTTTTTAATGTGGCAATTCAAAAAATGTCACAAACTTCTTGCTATGCTTCCATGATCTTTTGTCACTTTATGACACCAATTGCACATGTGTATTGGTGAAGGCAAGTTCTTGGACTTTTAGTGAAGGATTTCAGTTGTGTTTTGTGCTGTACATGGGACATGACATGCCCCAATTAATGATTATTGTTGTTGACAAATATTTTTGAATTACTGCTGCCACACCCTCCATTCTTGCATCCGTGGGTGTGGTTCCTGTCTGAAACTCTTGTGGCCGTTTTATCAAGGTTTAAATGTGACCTTGCACTTCACGATTTTGGTCTAATAATATTTATTTTAATAATAATTCAAACTACCCCTGCAGGTGGCGGAATTTCATAAATCTGGAAAAAGGTTTTGTTCCTGTGATGACTCTTGAGCTGCAATAATTAATCCCCTGATCAACTAAGAGATTGGTTGACAATTATACCCCTGCTTCTCTATGATGGACTCATCAGTTCATCAGTGTGTGGGAGACTCACATCCATGTCGGTCACAGTGCAGAAATTGGATTTGTATGCTCTTCTGTTTTGATGTATTGGACAGTTATTAAGTGAAGGGCACTTTGACTATTTTTAAAACCGGTAAGCTAAGGTTGTATGGAGTGGTTGTGTTAAAAGATATATGAGCCTTGCTCAATAGCACTGGACATACTGCCTCTATTCAGGTCAATGCTAGACTTGACCTAAGCCATAATGAGGAAGCTGTCTGGCTGAGCTACATTGCGGAAATCTCTGTCTCTCTTCCTCTATACTGCAGCATTACAAAGGATAGAAAACACATGACTCCCAACATGAAGTGTCTCCTGTGCTTGTGTTATACTTTGGTAAAACATGTGGGTTGAAATGTAATGTCATTAATTAAAATCTATTTAAGTAAAGTCTCGATTTGTGTTCTGAGTAATTCTGTTTTGCACCTAATTACCTTTTCTTTTCTTTTTTTTTTTAAACAGGCACTCTTGGGTGGTCATTTAATTACAAAACAAAGTGACCCTGAGAGCAAAGTCTTCTACCTAAAGATGAAGGGGGACTACTATAGATACCTTGCTGAAGTTGCCAGTGGAGACGAAAAGAATGGTGTGTTCATTTGTGTGTATATATATTTTTTTATACATGTGTGCATGTACTGTGTTTGTATATCTATATAGATAGATAGAGATCAGTAAATGTATTTATTCATGTGTTTGCAAAAGACAATATTTTAAGAACCTCTGCCTCATCACACTCCAAACAGGGATTTTATTTATTTATTTAATCAGTTTTGGAGTTAGAAGCTGGAAATGGTGTCAAATGGTTCAGTGTTTCACAGTCCAGCGACATCCCAGGAATAGTAGCAGTTTGCAAGTCGCACCTAACTGTGAATTGGGTGTAGCTCGCACAGATCCAGTCTCATAGAAACACTGAGTAGAGCAGTAAGCCACTGCTTATCAAATTTTAAAGTTGAGATGGTACTTATTTTCTAAATATATTGCTCTATAATGTGGCTCAACAAGAAGAGATTAATTTAAAAATGGAGATGTACACTAAACCGGACGTTTATAAAAAAAAATTAAATACATTACTCTGTATTGAAGAATTTGTACTGAAGAACGTCATTGCAATGTTTTGTGACTTCCCCTTTCTGCAGAGACTGTTGCAAAGTCACAGATGGCATACCAGGATGCATTCGATATCAGCAAGGAGTCCATGCAGCCCACACATCCCATCCGTTTGGGCTTGGCTCTTAACTTCTCTGTCTTTTACTATGAGATCCTCAACAGCCAAGAAAAGGCCTGCAGCTTGGCAAAACAGGTCAAGAGGATTTGTTTTTTTATTTAATTTAAATTAAAATGCATGAGTATATTAAAAAAAGGTGTATGTGTGTATATATGTATGTGTGTATTTAAATTAAAATGCATGTGTATATTTAAAAAAAAGGTGTGTGTGTGTATATATATGTATGTGTGTATATATATGATAAGTTAACATCAATAAACATCATAGATTAACAACAACATAGTTGTTTGTACATCCAAAGTGTTAATTACTTTTTTTCTTTCTTTAAATGCAGGCATTTGATGATGCCATTTCAGAGCTTGACCAGTTAAGTGAGGACTCTTACAAAGACAGCACTCTTATCATGCAGCTCCTCAGAGACAACCTGACTGTGAGTAAAATGGCACCAAATTCATTATCACTCATTGTCACAGTATGTCATGGCATGATGGGAGGTTTCCCACCAAATGCCTTTTGAACCCACATTAACTTATCAATGTCTGCAAAAAAAAAATCTTTCATAAAGTTTAGACTACATGGTGAAATTTAGTTTAATAAATATCTAACTCCATATTTCTTTTTGTCTCTAGTTATGGACTTCAGAAAATGCTCCTGAGGAGAGTGAGGGTGGAGAAGGTGGAGAATTTGGAGAGGGCGGCGAGAATGAGAATTAGAACTCCCGCGTTTCTGTCGTCTTGAAAAGTTAACAAAATGGAAAAAAAAAATACATCATTCATTCCTTTTTTGCTCCACTCAGACAGTCGTGTAAGAATCAATAAATTAAAAAATAAAATTAAAGATTTGAGCTAATGGTTATGCTTGTCCCGGCCACCCCTTGTGTGCAGCTTTTGGTTGGATAAATTAATTCCCTATATTAAACTATCAATTTATATATTAAAAGAAATCCCAATAAGATGTTTAGTCATTAAAATTAGTTTTCCTCTGTGTATCCGTGGGTGTGTCGGTGTCTACAGTTATGTGGTACGGTTACAACAGCTGAAGTCCAACCTCCAGTTACCAAATTCAAAATTGTCTTGCTGCGTGCAATTTACACACTGGCTATCATGGTAGAGTGGAGCCCAATAGTGCCCATTGAGTAAAATCTTTACATTCTGCCCTGGTTATAATGCCACTCCATCACTGAAGCATGTCTGTCTGTTGGGGAAATGTTGGTGCTTGTTTTGTCTTACCAAAATGCAGGGACCTTTAAATGGGGAGAAGATGGTTTGTCATGCATGTCTCTTGAGATATTACACTGGAATGGGAACAATTGCTGTAACACACTCAGACAATTCCAAGTGTTGGTTGTTTTTGTAATTTTCACTGCAGTTTTGTACACATCCTACTCGAGGGTGACATGAGTCCAGTGGATTGTCATTAGAGATTTGGACCACTATTGTTTTTGCTATTCATTCAATCGTCCCCAGAAGCATTGTGGAACAGTTTGAATCCCTATGTATCAGCTATGTTGACATGAATAAAACATTTTATAAACCAATCCCATGTCTGTCATTTTAATCACTCAATGTGCTTTTATATTAATACTAGGACAAACATACATTTACCTTTAACCAGAGCTAGAGATTTGCAAAAAACATAAAAGGGTATTAAAATAAACCTCTTGAGTACAATACACCTTTGTGGCTTAATTTGTAGAGGATTAATGGTGTAATGACAAACAAATACAATGATTCTTTATTTGTAAGAACTGTGCAAAATTCCATTACCAACAGTCTTGTGTACATCAAAGTAAAATTATCTTAAACAGAACACAAATGTGCATTTCTGTACAGAAACACTCGTATCACAATTTATCTCTAAGTCAAACTGGTCTGATTTACATTTACATTAACTCAATATATTAAACAAAGGAATATAAAAGATGCCTTTTCTCTAGAAACACTGTTGTGTCTCTGGAAGTTCTTCCCACGTGTGACCTGATTGTCACTTTGGATCAATTCGGATCAATTTTTAACAGATTCACGATACATTGTTACATCCCCAATGATATTTGTAAGGTTGTGTTTTCCCCTTTATGTAGAATAATGTGTAAGCTTGTTAAGAAAGGCTGGCATGTGCCACGTTAGGAATATTTTGCTCTGTGTAAAGGAACATATTAAAATAATCGGCTGTATTTAAAATGTCTCAAAATAATTTCTAAAATAGGTTCTCAAAGCAGTACATTTGAGGAACTGTTGTGTAGACATGAATAAATCCTAGAGCTTGCAAGACCTTAAAATTAGGCAAAAGTTACGTTTTTATTTTAAATTCATCCAAAAAATAATTGTAAAGAAAATGAATTGTGACAGGTCAGACGCCGTTCTTGGTTTTTAATAGTTTCTTTAGCATGGATACTTTTTTGTTTAAACATTCATTTTAAAATCTGGTTTTCAGTGTAAGAGTCATGAATTTAATCTCATTCTAAGGGTTAAGAAAAAAGGGAAGAATACAATCTGAGTACAATCATAAATATGACACTTGGCACGGGAGTACGGTAAAGTATTACTCACTAGTATTTGAATAAAAACACGATTTTAATTGATTCACCGGACACTTGACAGTTGTCCAGTGCGGTGACAGCGGATGTTTTGCAGTCCGTGTACTTCCGGGTAGCATAGCTAACCTTAGCGTTTTAGGCAACCCGAGAAAACACTGGGCAATGACGGCGCTAAAATAGTAATATACCATAAAAATGATAACTATACTGTTATTCACACTTGCCACACCATACTGGGTCAATTGTGCTATTAGGGAAGGAGGGACACCAGAGGTTGAGCACAAAGAAAACCCGGAGTTCGGTAAGTATTCTGCATGCTAAGCTAACACTAGTTTCAACTTAAAAAGTGTATCGCCATAATGTGTGACGAAGACAATTCAACCATTGCAGGCATTACCAGGATTTATGTAGTATTTGTTCTGTAAAGTTACCGCACTTGTTCGACCAAATTATCATAACATGTATAGTTCTTTAACCTCTTACAAACATTAGTCAAGTTCCGTTATATGTTTGATTTTTTTTATATAACAAATTATCCCGTCACTTTTTTTTGTTTGGTTCCCGTTTTCTTAGAACCCCTGAACGCTGTCCTGTCCGATTATGAGGTCGTGCCTCTGTCAGACCTTCACCTTCACTCAGTCAGGAAAAGGGACGTACACACCCAGTCCCACCTGGAGCGCCTTGTGAGCTTCAGAGCCCTACACAGGTACAGCACCATCAGCCACCTGGTTCATAAACTTTAATGTTGTCAGGCGTGTGGTAATTATCGTATTCATTCGATATTTTTTTTGTCTCAGTAGATACGATTAATAATTCCTCAAATCCCGTAATGTACGATTGAGTTGGATATTAGCACAATATCCAACGGTTACTGCTAATACATATTGTGCCTCACAAAAAAAAATCAACGCACGATCTGACGTGACGACGAACGACTTAGCTCTCCGTGATGTAAATACGTAAATTTGCTATTAGCTACGAGCAGGCCTCTCAAAATCTGAGGAACTAGGATAGATATTATTGAGACATTTTCAGCTCCGGTGACAAATAATCCAACGTGGTTTTTCATGTCAAAGTTGTGGGCAAATCTTTAAATGTTGAGAATTATTTGTAAATATTCTAAAAGTGTTCTGTTTGGACAGTTTTAACTTAAAGCTTGCTGGTGTTCGCAGGAAATGGCACTAATACTAATTTGAGCAGATTCATACTCTAGTGCATTGTTTCCCAAATTCTGGGTTGTGACCCTCAGGTGGGTCGCAAGAGTTGGGGGGTTTTTTTGGGTCGTCTCGCATCATGTTACCCAGGATTTTTCGAATAATGTCTGTTGACTTGGGTTGCGAAGGTTTGTGACTTTTAAAATATGGGTCCCCAGAAAAAAAGTTTGGGAAAACACTTCTCTAGCTTCAGCATTAATACAAAGGTTTTCCTCTTTCTCTCAGTTTCCCGACTCTTTCATTCAGCACTAACCATCTGACACGTTCAATGTCTACTTAATGTTACTCAGTTAAATCATCAATTCTGTGACATCAAAACACTCAGGATCCCATTATTAATGTTGAAATATCATAGTAAATGTGTCATATTTCTTTCTTACTCCAGAGATTTCAGGCTTTATTTGACGACCAACACAGACCTTTTCACTGACAACTTCCAAGCTGTGTTTGTTGATAAATATGGGAGAGAAGACAACTACAATGTTCAACTCCAGAATTACTTTACCGGACATGTTGTCGGTGAGTCAGCGATGAACTCATTATGGATACATTTCTTTTTCAATATATTGTATATACACTTCTACTACACGTATTTTACGTTCTGCTCTTGTCAGGTGAGGAGCATTCACGTGTGCAGGCACACATAGATGGAGATGAGTTCTCTGCTCATATTCTTACTGATGAAGCAGAGTACAATGTAGAGGTAAGGGAACACTGTAAAGTGTAATGGTCAGAAATAGGCTTTATTTTTTTTATTATATTAAATTTGATTTGTTTATGGTTTTGTGTTCCAAACTCCTTACTCTCTCCTATACCAGCCCCTATGGAGGTTCATAGATGCCCCAGCTGATGGCAGGTTGCTGGTGTATCGCTCTGATGACATCAAAAATCTGAGCAGAGTCGCCTCTCCGAAAGTGTGCGGCTACATTCATGCAGAAGACAGGGAATTGTTCTCCCAGGTGTCTAGAGGTGACGGGGATGGACACAACATGAGCCAGGCTGCAGGTGAGATTTGCTGCTGCTGTTTTTTTGTCTGGGATTTTGCAAGTGTTCTTATCAGAAGTATGTGCTGATAATGGGAAGACATAGAATCAGTGTCAAATCACATTAGGTTGATATTTAGTGTTGCTGTTGGTGGACGATGGAAGCAAAATGAATTGTAGGAGGATAACAAACGATTCAGTTGAAGAAGAGAAGAGAAGCGGAGGTGGATGAGGACGGTGTAGTAAGACAAAGGAGGTGGGCGCAAGCAGTCGCTTTCAACCTTTTGTAAATGTGAAACAGCATATGTTTCACACAGTGCTGACAAGTAGGTATTATGTAAATGTTCTGATTCCTTTGTTCTGGTTTGGAAAATGTAAAGGAGCATCTAGATGTGAAAATTAGCCTGAAGATCTTAAAAACAAAGATCCGCTCGCAAGCACATAGATAAAACAAGGTGAAGGTTGGTATGGAGGAGGCATTAAAATTCATGGAGGAGCTCTCCTGCCCCATGAAATTACTCTTGGTCTCCCACTACTTGATGTTGTAACCAGGAAAGTGCACATTACATACCCACGCTACTCAGGAGTGAGGAGTCATTTTCACAGTTCAGTGTAATGCTTCAGTGGAAGCTGTTCCTGTTCTACTGTTAATCTTTAACTAAGGACTCTAAAGGTGTGTACTCTCTGTGAGACACTAAGAACCAGAAACTTGAAAATATTTCCCAATGAATTCTCAAACATATTGTAAATGAGCGCCTTATGCTGAAATGTATGTATATATTTCTGCTGCGATAGCTGACTACTGCTAGCATCAGTTCAGAGGCCAAACAGATCCAGTGATTTATTCCATACATCATTTCTAGAACCATTTATACGTCCTCCAAAAACACAGGCAGGATTAAAATGGAGTTTAACCCTGGATGTCAGAAGAGAAGCAGAGCTTAATCAGTTCACAGGCCAATGTACAACACACGCTGCTAAATGTGAAAACGAGGACAATTAGCAGGGGGACACTGGAGCGTGGCCTCGTTGTTTTACTTGTAGACGTCCTTATTTATCTGCCGTCCTGTGTGATTAGCTGAGAGTGTTTGGTGTATGTATGGCTGAATTATTCTTTACACCTGTGACCTTTTAAAAAAATATATATAATTGTATTTGTCTTTTAGAGTATTACCACAGAGAGAAAAGACATGTCCATGACCACAAGAAGAACACCTGTCCTCTGCTGCTAGTCGCAGACTATCGCTTCTTCAGGCACATGGGACGTGGACAAGAGAGCATCACCCTCAACTATCTGGTATGCCTTTATGAGCCTTTGTACTGCAGTATTGTAAACGGGTATTTCAATCCAAAACTGGTACTCGTACTCATATACCAACATTTGGTATTTTTATTTTCCTAGTCATTCTTTGCATGTGAATTTGCTCCTTTCCACCTGTTAGATTGAGCTGATTGATCGAGTCGATGACATCTACAGGAACACGACGTGGGACGACGAATTCCAAGGCTACGGAGTCCAGATCCATCAGGTTTGTGTGTGTTTTTGTCAACAGTTAATGTTTCTGTTTGGATCAAATTGTTGTTACCAGAACACGCTGCCTCCAGCGACACCGCTGCTTTGTCATGTATCAAGTCATGGAAGTGAAGCAGGGAGTGAGGGAGCGGCGTTGAGAGCAGCGTTTGTCGGGGGGGAACTGAAAGCTTTTGTTTGTGCATCACGGGGGAATTTAATTTGTTCCACAGGCTGTAAAGAATGAATGCAGACACTGTCTCCCATACGATGAGCAGAGTGTTCCTTCACCAAGAAGACATGCATTCATTGACCTGCACTGACTTTTATTCCAACTTTTTCACTACAAGTCAAGAAAAACATGTGATATTCTCTCTCTTTTTCATGTTGTTGTTGTGCTATTTTTTTTTAAACTTTTCAGTATGTTTAGGAAAAATGACTGGAAAACCACTTAAACCTCTGCAATATAGTCATAACTTACATAAGTTATAAAATGCAGCCATGTAAAAGAATTATACTTTTTTATACAGCTGCTGCCAAACCTCCTGCAATGCATATTTGTATAAAGTTTAGCAACATTTAATTTTGTTTTTTATAAATACATTTCCATCGTGACATATAAGGAAGTTGAGAGTGAATAGTTTTATACTAAATACATTCATCAACCTTTTTTTTTACCAGATAATCATCAACAAGGAGCCTACACAGCCTCCTGATCACGCTGGCATCAACTGGGTCCATTATAACATGGAGAACAGACACATCATAGAGAAAGGAAAGGACAAGAGAATGGAAGGGGTCTGGGATGTGAAGAAGCTTCTGGAGGTAAGAAATGACGACCTTTTTCAAAGACGATTCCAAGTCAGTTTCTTTGAAATACAAAAGATGGTTAAAACCGTGGTGTGTGTGTCCCACAGCAATTCAGCTCAGACATCGCTGGTAATGCCTCCACTGTGTGTTTGGCTCACCTGTTCACCTACCAGGACTTTGACGAGGGTGTCCTGGGACTCGCCTACGTGGCTCCTTCCAAAGCTCAGGCCCTGGGTGGCCTCTGTCCCAAACGTAAACGCTGAGCTCTGGTTGTTTTCAAACAAAGCCATGATTTTAGGAAGAAAACTGGAAGTTAAATCTGAACTGTTTATAATGTGTTTTCTGTAGCCTATTATCCATCTGCGTCTGCCAAGAAGCCGAGTTACCTGAACACAGGCTTGACCAGCACCAAGAATTATGGAAAAACCATCTTGACTAAGGTAACAGTTTGAACTCCTATATTCTCTTCTTTCAAATTACTGCTCTGTACTGGTAGTCTCTGTGTATGTATATATATATATATATAGCTGTACTGGTAGTCTCTATGTGTATGTGTGTATATGTGTGTGTATATATATATTTATATATATATATATATATGTGTATGTGTATGTATATGTGTATATATGTATATATATGTGTATATATGTATGTTTTTATTATTATTACCATTTATTTTTGCACCACAAATGTACCAAAGCGTGGCTTCCCTGTACCGTATAAACGTTACACCCTTAATGTATATATGTCTGTGTGTGTTTGTATATGTACAGTATATATGTGTGTGTGTGTGTATGTGTCGATTTCCAATTATAATATTATATCCTGTGTCTCCTCAGGAAGCAGATTTGGTGACCACCCATGAGCTGGGACACAATTTTGGGGCAGAGCACGACCCTGACAACATCCCATACTGCGCCCCCACCGACGACCAAGGGGGGAAGTTTGTCATGTACCCTTTTGCTGTGAGCGGAGACCATGTCAACAACAAGGTAAAAAAAGTCGTATTGAAAAAAACAAGTAAATCTGGTTTTAGTGTGCCATGTAGCTTCATAATCTGCTCTGCAGGGGGAGCTATAGACATATTTTAGATGTCCTGGTCTATAAGTCGAGTTAGCTGGTGCTAATGTATTGTTAAATACTAATGAAAGCATCAAAAGAAAACTTCCACTTAGTCCCCAGAATAATGGTAATCTGACAGTGAACGTTCTTTTCTACAAAGCGTTGACTCCCAGCTCAGATCTAACCACTTCCTGATTCTCCTCTTTTGCCTGAAGCGTTTCTCCAACTGCAGCAAGATCTCCGTCGGAAAGACTTTACGTTTCAAGGCTCCGATGTGCTTCAAGGAGAGGAACAGCAAAGTATGCGGCAACTCTCGAGTGGAAGAAGGGGAGGAGTGTGACCCGGGGCTACTCCACCTCAACGATGACCCCTGCTGCTCCTCCACCTGCAAGTTTAAACACGATGCACAATGCAGGTGTGAGGCTGTTCAAACTGAGTCTAAAGACAGTAATATCTTTATTAACTGTTTAACTTGATCTCATGAAAAAAAAAATCCCTGTGTGGGAAAGATTTAATCGACATTGTTTTCTGTGGTTCAACAGCGACAGAAACAGTCCTTGCTGCAGGAACTGCACGTTTCAACAAGCAGGAGTGAGGTGTCAGGAACCCATTAGTGCCACATGCAAAGGCACATCCTCCTGCACAGGTGAGCTCCACCTGCTGGTGTAGCACCAGACCTGCACCAAAACCCGACCCTGTAATTAAACAGTTTTTTTTTCGATGTGTCAGGCAACAGCAGTGAGTGTCCTCCTCCAGAAAACGCAGAAGACAACACAGTGTGTGTGGACAAGGGCCGCTGCCACAATGGAGAGTGTATACCTTTCTGTGAGGCCATGCAGAGTCTTCAGTCCTGCGCCTGCAACGGTCAGTCATTCTCTGTTTTCATGACAAGAGAAAAAAAAAAGAGAAAGTGGTTAGAGACGTAAGATCTGGTGACAACACACTTTCTTCAGCAAAACAAATCAGTACTGGTTGGAAAAAGTCACAGATCACAACACATTTTTAAAAAATAGATATAAATTCTTGAATCCGTTTATTTGAATAACACAAAGTATATTTGAATTATAAATTGTAAAGCTTATCACGCAAAGCAAATCATATAAATTATAATTGTCTGTCCAAAAATATTAGTCCTAATGTTTTATTTACTATTTCAACAAAATAAGTTCTATTTTCCAAAATATTTGGGGAGAACACAATTCTTTCAAACTACTAAAATGGTATCAAATTATACAGAAAGGTCAAAACAAAAACATCTGACGCAGAAAGAAAATTAAAAGCATAAGAAATGCTGGTGAAAAGATGTTGGTAAAGTGTTTTTCATACTGACTGTTTGTGAATCTACAGTATTCACACCATAAAGAGTGGCACATCTTTATCAACTCTGTCTAAATGAAGTCGTGACGGTTCTAGCGTTTGTACGTTCTCTTCTTTGTTTCCAGAAACGGAGGACTCCTGTAAAGTCTGCTGCAGGGGAAAAGACGGCCTCTGCTCTCCCTTCATCCAGACTGACGACACTTTTATTTTCCTCCGTAAAGGAAAACCGTGCACAGTGGGATTCTGTGATGGGACTGTGAGAAGGAATTTTTACACCTTTTCTATCAACGGAACTAAAACAAATGGAAACTTTACGCTGTCCCGGCTCTGAAAGTTTTTGCATATGTTAAAATGTGTTGTCCTCTGGTTTGAAACAGGGAAAGTGCATGAAGCAGGTGCAGGACGCCATCGAGAGGCTGTGGGATTTTATTGACAAGCTGGACATTAACACATTTGGTAAATTTCATATAAAACACTCGACATAAACTGTGCTAACTGTGTTGTTTGACTGACTGCAACTGAATTTGACTGATTGATTGATGTTTATATCGAGTATGAAAACCAAAATTAATTAAAAAAAAACACATTTAAACGTAAGACATAGAAATACGTATTCAAAAAGGAGTGTGAATTAGTACTCGTGATCTATTATCCTTATATAATGGATCACAAAAACAAGATTCCTCTAAAACACAACCTAGCAGTTGTGTTTTTAATTATCTTAACACTTTTACCTGATAAAATCCCCCCCTCCCCCCCGGCGTCTCTTTGACCCTTTGACCCTCACCAACCTTCGCTCTCCATCAGGGAAATTCCTGGCTGATAACATCGTGGGCTCTGTGGTGGTGTTTTCCCTCATCTTCTGGATCCCGCTCAGTATCCTGGTCCACTGTGTGGTAAGGAAACTGCTGTACATCAGACCCCCCCTCTTGGTTGAAGTCGCCCCCTGGTGTTGACTGTGATGTCCCGTTTGTGTGCCTTGTTTTCAGGACAAGCGACTTGACCAGCAGTACGAGGAGAACTACCACCCCAGTGTGAGTATCTCACCTCTGTTTCATCCTGTGCTGCAGCCAAGCTAACCAGACTAAAACATATCCCAGTGCCTCATAAAACAAATACTGACATTTTCTAACAAGAAAAACCGCAGCAGCATGGATGATGACTGTTCAGAAACAAAGTTTCATTACCTGTGGTTTTAGTCAGACTTGGTGAGAGGTAAACAAACGAGACTAGCTGACGATGATCGGTCAACAACGAACTTGAACAGCTCTTAGAAAGAGTCGAGAAACAAATGAATTTATCAAAATTTTGTGTTGAAGTATTGTGTTTTTAATTTTAAAAGCTTAAATGGTTAAACACTTAAAACAAGTTTTTTTGGGTTTTTTTTTAAGAAGTATTTTAGGTTTAGTTTATATACATACTTACCAAAAAGATGTTAAGTTTCAAACATTAACTATATAAAAAATTGACACTCGGACATTGATTTAATGAATTTAATTTTGTCTCCGTCTACAGTTATTGATGTGTGTAAAAATACTGATACTTATTACACAGTTAACGGCTAATTAGAATTCTAATCAGAATTCTTCTAGTGTAAATGTAATATTGATAGTTTCACAATATCGTATCGATATTTTACAGCATTTTATCAATTTTTTTAATTATTAAATAGTTTCACAATATCGTATCGAGCATTTTATAGAGCATTTTATCAATTTTTTTAATTATTACTTAAGAATCAAATATTCATGGCGTTTTATTTCTTCTCTGGCGATTACAAATGTAGATCCTCTGTTCCAGTTTCAGTAACCTGATGTTAAGCAAGTAACATTATTGTGTGTTTACTATGCTGACAGTTTTCCTACAATGAAATTGTTTGAAAAAACTCAATATATCATCGTGCCTATAGTATTGCAGTATATCACAATATATGGTATCGTAGCCCCTGTAATGTGATACGTATCGTATCATACCAGATTCTTGCCGATACACACCCCTAGTAAATAAACCCTCAGCTGAAACAACTGTATGTTTTTAGATGTTTCTAATCTTCTGACAGTATAAACTGCTGCTGCACCACAAACTCACACCACCTCTGACAAACAAAGAGCATAAAACTAATCTCTGACATGAAGCGGTTCGTGCCGTACACACCCGCGCATGGAAACTGTCCTTGCTGGGTTCGAGCTGTGTCAATGACCTGTCCCTCACTCTTTGCCTGGGCCTCTTCCATTCTTATTGGAACTGCAGCAGATGCTGGAAGTTTGTAGTAGAGCTGCGGCCATAGGTGAGTGAGTGCGCCATGGCTTGGTGTTACGATGCGTGGCCAGAATCTCATGAGGATGCATGATGGTCGTTGGCCCACATTTGGGATACTCCTGCAGTTACCGACTCCTTGAAGTAGTCACTGATCCTGCTGCACATTTCCAGCCCCTGAAGTCATCCATGACTCAAACTGGTTTTAGTGCGTGTTCACACCTGTCGCATTTGGTTGCTCCAGTTGTTGTAGTTCACGTGAACTAGTGTAAATGCTTTTATTCGTCTTCTTTGGTGCATCTTGCATGATATGTGATTGCCAATGCACCAATCAGAGGGGAGGTATGAACACAAAAATGTCATTTTCTTCATGACATTTTCTGTCTGAACCAAATGTGAGCACACTCTAAGACACAAGGCCAAAGAATCCCACCGGATCAGAAATTACCTCAAGAGAGGACGACTGCATCTGAGGAGTATTGAGAATCCAACAGGTTGCACCGTGTTGTTGTTTGTGAAATCAGATGCAGTGTGTGTTGACAGTTTTGTGTTTGCATCTGCTGCTGTTCAGAGCCGCGACATGAGGATGATCTCTTTCTGGTGACAGTCTTTTTTTTTTGTGTTTCCATGTATTTTTTTGTTTGGCTGTCTAGTGTTTTTCTAGGCTTTATCAAATACATGGAGACTGAGGACACACATGTTTCTCACAGCAGACAATTTAAATTGTGATATTTATAATATAAATTCACGTCTCAAATGGCTTGGCCAAGTATAGTCATGTGACCGGTTGACACCAACTTGACCATTTAGACCAGCTGTTACTATGATTAATTATTATATATAGTTGAAAAAGTAAACTGTCCACTGTGAGAAAGTTACTTGAATTCATTCCCACTTTTACAAAGGCAGCTGGGGCGCTACTTCTTTAAGCAGAAATCCAGCTGGTAAACACATAAGACACTGTTTAATCAAGTTCTGTCAGTAGGAAAGATTATTGGATTATTTAATCCAACACCAGTTTCCTTGGTTCTAGTTGCTGTAACAACCTTCCAGCTGCAGGAAATACAAAAACTAAAATGTGGCCCTAGATTTGCCATTTTAATGTGCTCAAAATGTCACTACAAGTACAATGCAATATGAACCAGTCCCATGCACGAGATAAAACGTTTTTTGAAAATGATGTGTTTAGGCATTCATAGCCACAGTTTCTTTCACTACCTTGTCCAATAACCCAATTACTTTCAGAAAGTTCAGGAACGTTCAGGTCACTGTCAATAAAAACTACAAACTACAGAAGTCAGCGTCTGTAAAACAGGAACTGTTTCATGTTTCCGAGCACTTGTAATGATATTTTAAGCAGGCTAAGAGGAGCAAAGTTATCTTTTTAATAGCCAGGCGGTGAAAAAGAAAACAACTACTCTTACGTTTGTTAAAATATTTCATGTAATCGAGGCTGAGCTGTTGTGTCAATTTAAGACCAGCTGATTTTCTCAGAAAACAGTAATAAAACATTTATTGTAGTATCAAGTCATGTATCCCAATCATGACAATCTTTAATCAGAATTTTGAATTTTGGACGTAGTAAAAAGGGAATGACGTCCTCAGTCAGAGACATTAATTTTATTTTTATTTTTTAATTTACCTTATTTTTGTCTTTGTTTTTTTCAGGGTCAAGAAATGCTGAACAACCTCGAGTCAACATCGGTCCGAATCGTCAAGCCTCTTCAGCCTCCCTTCTCCTACACCGGCCAGACCGCGCCCTGCTCCCTGCCCCAGCGGTCTCATCAGGTAAGCCTTTCGGCGGCCCCTCCCACAGCCAGCAGCAGCTCGCCGGCCCCAGGTCCGAGTTACGTCCCCACCCCGGACAGCGCTGGGCTGCGGATGGCCACCATCCAGGAGGACACCAGCAGCGACTCTCACCAGGGAGAGGAGGGGCAGTCGGGCGATTTCACAACCGCAGAAGCCTGCTCGTCGGCTACGAGATCCTCCTACGAGGATCTGACAGAACACAACCTGTCGGCCAGAGAGCGGCGGCGCCTCCAGAGGCAGGACCACGTTGACACGAAGGAGACAGAGTGCTGAGAAAAATCACGTGCAATGTTCGTGTGAACGTGAGATGTGGGAAGTGTTTTAGGGAACATGCAGATTAATGCGACCACGTCGACCTTTTCTTTCCTCCTCACATATCATCGACCTCGGCTTCTTAGCAAGAGTCCATCCCATGTTGTTTTAAATAGAATTTAGACATTTTTACACACTGGATCTTCCTCAGCCAGCTGTGGAGTAAAGTACGTCAGTGTGCGAGTATTAAGTCACGTGTCTTCAGTGTCTGACTGGGTTTAAGGTGCCGTATTTTCCGGAGTATTATTAATGTTTGTTGTGAACCCCCCCCCCCCCTCCAGAAATCTCCTATTCTCATTTTATTTACATTCCAAAGCTACCAATGCATCCAAACAGACGCTATATCATTTATGACCACCAGAGGGCAATCTTTACTCGCGACAACTGAACTATTCTACTGTATCGCTGACTAAATCATAAAGACGTCCTTAAAAGCTAATGTTTTAGCTCGTGCACTTTTGGCTATTTGGGATTTTTATTTCAAAAATTATGCAAAAATGCTCTTCACAATTCTAGAGCGGTAACTCATTCTCCGGTGTGACGTATAGTCCGGAAACATACGGAAGTTGTCAAGTTTCTTTAAATGTCTGTGAATGACTGCTGTGCCTTTTTTTTTCAAATGTAATAATACAAGGATGGGCCAGACGAAGGTCTGAGCAGGTCTTTGTGACCAATACACTTGACATCAAGACAAACATTTTCCTTCCTTATATCTGTGCACCAAGTACTGAGTTCAAAACGATGCAGCTCAATGTTTGGTCGGTTGTAACAGGACAGACGTGTAAATGTAGCAACGATTATTTTCCTCTGCTGAGGGAAACATTTAAATGTGACACACGAGGGCAGATACTTGACTACAAAACATTGATGTTATCCATTAATCTGAGTAACCACTGCGCTTGAGAGTATTTTCCTGTTACATATTATGTCTTAGAATTTTAATGATTGGTCAACCTTTATTCATTCTGTCAGCTTTTATTTTAGATTTTGTGCTTAATGATTCAAACACACCCGTGAAAATAGATTACTGGTGGATGACCAGAGATCCAGTTCACTTTTGCATTAGGGTTTTATGCCTTTGTGCCAATGTGAGCAACTCTTTACTAAGTGATGTGTTGTCATGTCATTGTCTACTGCTGTATACAGTCAAGTTTATATCTATTTAAATGTACCAAACGTCAACACTCTTGGATGGATGTGAACCACTATACAACACAAAGATGGGTTTTTTTTACCATATATTTTTTGTTTGTTTTTATTTTTTGCCTGAATTACGCATCTTTTTTCCTTCTGTACAACACAAAGATGTTTTGGGGTTTTTTTCACCATATATTTTTTTGTCTGTTTTTATTTTTTGCCTGAATTACGCATCTTTTTTCCTTTATAAACTTGATTGTATCTTCTATGCACTTCTGCAAAATAATAAAAAAAAGTCTTTATTGTGCAATTTGAACCATTACTACATTGTTAGAGCAGATATTCAAGTGTGGAACATATTTTAAATGATCACATCATAATCTTCTTCAGTGGTCACAGAGCAGGCTGTTTTCAGGATTCCTGGGGTCAACGTCGCCCCAGTAGGGCAGGATGAAGGGCAGGTGAGACACTCTGCTCTCCAGAAGACTCCATACATGCTGGGCTACAAACTGGTTTCCCTTTTCTGACAGGTGAAGACCATCACACAGGTAAACTGAGTAGTCCTGTAGGTCAGAGGACAAACGAACAGGTCACACTCTTCAGTCTGTTCAAGCAGTAATGGTTCATTATGATCACGTGACGTGAGGCACCTGTCCGTCTTTCTGCATGAGCGTCCAAAGGTCCAGGACGTCTGTGCCACACTGAGCAGCTGTCTGAACACAGGCCTGAGCGTACTGTCCTGCTACTGAGTTATAACGGTTGAGTGAACAACCTGGAAGAAACACGGAAAAACAAACCCTTAAATATTGTAAAGTTCTGAAAAAAAATTACCTGAGGATGAAACAATCAAATATACAAATATCAACTTGACCTTTTAAAATGCACTCCTTCTCCCAGTCTGGCTCAAGAAGAGGCGGCGGTGTAATGAAGATGACTTTGTCCGCTGACACTCCTGACGCACCCAGAATCTGTGTGATCTCCTTCAGGTTGTCTGAATACTCCAGCAGAGGAATGTGCTGCTGTGGGTTCTTATCTACAGGACAGGAACATACAGTACTAGGCACCAGTGTCAGAATCACAGGAGAAGAAACGTGACATAAACATAAACATGGAGTAGGGTTTTAAGGTGCTTTAAATTTGTTTGGGGTTTTTTAAATCCAGATGTTTAACTGTCCCATATTGTGAAAAATAATGTTTCCTAAAATAATTATTTAATATTTGGAAAATAAAGTGGACAAAGAAAAAAGTGACCTGTGAATTCTGTTGACACTGAACGCAACACACTTATTTCATCTTCATACCTAAGAGTAAATGCTGACTTAAAATATCCAAACCAACTACACGGAAATTCTTTAAAAAACTGATTTAAAAAATAACATTTTCTTGATTTAAGTTAATATACCGTACATTGACTCCCACGGTCAATCAATGAATGTTAAAATAAATACAAAAAAAAAAATCACTCACAGCCTCAGACGTGTCAGTGAGTGCCAGTACCTTCCAGTGCACAGTCATTGGCTCCGAAGAAGACCGTCACAGCAGCTATGTTGTTGTCCGCCCAGGTCTGACCACTGATGAGGCGAGGGAGAACTATCTTGGCCCATCTGGAGTTGTAGCCTGAAAGTCCTCTGTTTACAACGTCACACTTTCTGAGAGGTAAAAACGCACAGTTAGAAGATTTTAAACCTTAGTCACAGTTAGGATTCTAATGTAATCTAAATGTTCCCACTGTATAGCAAACACAACACTTTATTTAACTTGATCATTAAGTGCTGTTAGATTAGCTGTATAAATATTCAGAAACGTGAGTGTAACATGTGCTAACCTGGCTAACTTGTTTGCTAATTCCGCGCCCCATCCATTGGCTTGAAATGAAAACTGGAAAGAAAAACAGCAGCTGTTGTTATCGTTGTGGAAGTCAATGCTAACAGAATATCACAGGCTAACGTCCAGAGTGACCACTCGTGCAAACTAACGCGATAACAACATAACACCGTAACAAACTCTCCACCTCCCACACCTGTGTAATGGAGTCGCCAAATAAAATCACTTTGGGCCAAATGACTGATTTGATCTTGGACATTATGGAACTCTAAAGAGCCGCCGATTTTTTTTTAAAACCGGATATCCCGTGACCTGTCCTGTGGATGTCTTTCACAATAAAATTGAATGTCACTCATTCATTTAAATATCACAATAAACCTAGAATTTAGAATACGTTTTAACACTTACTGCATGTATCGAGCTATTCTTTACCGAATTCAAAATAATTATTCTCTATTTTAAACATACGAGTGCCTGTAGTGCTTTTACTTTGTAGGACATTTGAAAGCGGTTTCCGTTTTTTTAATAAACATTAAATTAATATTTTTACATTATTATTGAATGTGTTGTAAATACACATATTCAAAGTATTATTTAAAAAAATACTCTTTTGTGGCACTTTACTGACATTTAACCCAAAGATATACTGTGCCACACAACATCGAATTACTTTTTTCATTTTACGACTTTATCCTCATTTAATTTACGACTTAAATCTCGTAATTCTATTATTTTATATAAATGTGAAGATGTATTATACGGTTAAAAAGTATTGTGACATAACTTTATTGAAGCAAAATTATGAATTAGATCATATTTTCAACTGTAAATGTTTGATGTCAAAACGTTTAGTTAAAATAAGAAAGTAAATTCTATTGCCATATATTAAAAATAAGTATGTAGGTCAGAAACAACAAAATATGTTATTTTGTGTCTGTTTGATTTTTATGCTGTTAATTCAGATATTTATTCTACCTCCTTCTGTCTTGCCTTTCATTTTTATGACTTAACTTCATTTTTTTGAATCCATAATTTTCAGTGTCTTATCTTCCCGTCATTTAATCTGATTTTTCCTGTTTCACTTTGTCTTGGGTCTAGGTGATGTGTTATTGATTTTTTCAACATTTTAAAACCCTCTGTCCCGGTGCTTCAGTTTTCCAAAACAGTCCAAAGAAAAGCCGATTATAGTCAGGTCTCCTTATGTTGGTGTGCTGGCAAAGTGCCCAGGACGAACCCTACATTTTAGCCGTGGTTGAACTGGGATGAGTGCCAGCACAACCATCTCTCTATTACACCAGCAGGATGAGTCAAAGAAAGGATCACTTTTAAACTCTTTTTATTTTAATGCATGTGGTTACATCATCTGACCTTTGACAGTTTGGGGAAGCTGTCACCCTCCCTCCCTCTCTGTCCCTCTCTGATCCTTCTTTCCACTTTTCTTTTCATTCTGTCAGAGGAACAGCGTCTACTGTGTCCTCAGTTGAGGATGAAAGTGTTTTCTCCTCCCTCTTACCTGAGTTAAACCCCCAGCGTTGCCGACCATTAATCCAATCACTTTGAAGCCAAACGAAGGGTTCATCAAAAGGAGAAAAAAAAAAAGTAGATGAAAAAAAGTCAGGTTGAAAAAAGTCACCTCACTCAAT